TCGTGTATGGCAAACATGGACGGACTGCTTAACTTGAACAGACTCTACATCCACGCCCACCTCTGGTCGGCATTGTAAGAACAGCCCTAACCGACTCGCTTGCAGGTCGTCCCGACGACTCGTTCTCACGCTGCACCGTCGACCGCTTCTAGGCTGTGGACGTGATGATATCGCGAAAGCTGCCGACAAGATAAGTTCTCTACTCAACCAATCGCAAAGTCCGAAGGCCAGTCGATATGCTACTGGCCGCCGATCCCAAAAGGACACTATCGGCTCGGTCCGATTGCAGTCCGACATTGTACAAACTTGTCTGTTTCTCATTGGCCTTGAATAGGCTGTAAAAATACGTCCATACACTTCTAGTCTTCCACCCTCGATCGAGAGGTTGTTCAATGAGCGACGATGGAGGCTTGTGATAATTTCATAGCAGTCACCCCAGCAAAGATCTTGATATGCAAGTTCTTGAAGGAAATTTGGCCAGGGGCTCCTGTAAACCTGTAAGGGTGGGGATATTGCTTTTATGGAAAGGACAAATGAACGAGGCAATAAACGCAGTGGGTTGATAGCAGTAAGAATATCCGCATTTCTAGCATTTTTCTTATTGCTACAATAAGGCAGTGGAACAGACATTCAAGATGAAACACGGAACTAAGGGACTATGGAGAAGCGTGAAAAACAGGAAATCGAAGGTTCATATTATTGCCGGCAAAGATAGGAGAGGCTGGAATGGTCATTCCTGGTTCATTAGCTGTCGTCAGCCAGTCATTCCCAGTCTCAAGCGATGCACCACCCGAACCTCGAACTTGCGACCTTTTTAATCAGAATCGAACGCACTACTCATTGAGCCACAAGCTTGTTGTCTTGTTGGTTTAGGTAGGGAAAGATAGACACTCGTTGATGAACGTTCACCGACCACTAACGGAACTCACTTGTCCCGCTTTACCGTGGGCCTCACTTCTCAGACCCTATAGGCAACCGTAGCAGCTAGTCGTATAGGCAGATAGTATTGCCGGCAACGACAAAGGAGGCTGGAATGGCCATTTCTGGTTCATTAGCCGTCGTCGCCGTCAGCCCCTTACTCGCACCCCGCTAGGCACAGGTAGTCGTTCGCAATGGCCAAATTATCGCGCACAGACTGCGCTCTAGCTTCCTTCAGCATATAGACACATCTGTTGAGAAAAGGACTTTCGAACAGTGTCGTCTGTTAGTTCTTCAGAGCATCGGTATTCTGTCGCCGATAATTTTTTTAAAATAATCTAACGCCTTACATTTTTGGAACGATAGAGAAGTACTGGAAAAAAGAGGTGTTTGCTTGTTAGATGGCGTCGAGGATGCCACTGAGGTCTGTGGCGGTGTCCCTTGGTAGTGCATACATGGCACAGTAAACTTCTCTTTTCTCATGAGTGGCCTGATGCGAAATAAACCCATTTCATCGGAAGAAATTGTGGAAACCTCAGCGGCCTCGATGGGATACAATCCCACGACAGCAAGCGCAACACTTGAGTGCAAACAACACTTTGACCATCTGAGATACGGGGCTACATCAGATGTAGTGTGTCTCACTACATTCACTGTGGGTAGTACAAGAGTGCATAGCCGGAGTCATTATCGCTGATCCCACGGTTGGGATGAACTAAACATGGATATTAGTCATCAGTTTGTTAGTAGCTTTGTTAGTCACTACGAAAAAAATGTTGGTCAAGGGCCAGTAAGTAACTCTGTGACACACACGCTGGTATTAAGTCCTAAATGCGGTACTGGCTGTAGCTCCAACGTTTGGGAATCACCACATGTCTAGCCAGGCATTAATCGATAAAATTCGAAATTGTCGCAAAAGGACTGACAAGTGGCCATTTGCCTGTCGGCTAGCACAGAAGAATGCCTAGCCACCGAGGTTTGCTGTATATCGCATCATTGGAGAATTCGGGAAATTATCCAGAATCCACGATAACCGTTGAATGGTTGTCGAAATCCCTCGATTACATGGAGTTTTATCTCCTATCGGTGGGCGTTATCAGCGATATCATCCTAATGATGTTCGTTTTTGGAGCTCTGTTTAATAATTTCGGACAAGATATCTTATTATTCTTCGTGGATCCCACCGATCGGCTTCTGGTGACAAGTGGATTTGAGCGTGGAATATCCAGTGCTGATGCGGGTGAGTCACTGATTAATTATTTGGGGATACCTTACTAATAATTTTTTGTTTAGTATAATCGGTTTTATCCCTCTTTTTATTTTTCTAAACCGGGATGTTTTGTCTGAGTCAGAACTAGGGATAGATTTGAAAATATTGTTTTAATAGGTAACAGGCGTGACAAGCCACGTTGGTGGAGATGCGTAAGATGGCTTCTGTTCGTGGGCATAGCCGTGACGGTGTAGGCGTACACGGGAGGCCTCAGGTCCAACCTGAGGGATGATCGTGCGTTAGCGGCCCGTCTATAGATCAGCTCGGTAGATGCGGCCCCGGAGAGGATGTTACAGACTTAACAATAAAGGCACTTGGCCTAAGAGGTTTCAGTCTTGTCACCTTCAACTTCCTAAACATTCCTTGTCAGTAGTGTAGAAAACGAAACGGTAATACGCGTACATGTGTACTCCCCATTCCAGTAATATAGGTGGTCGTGTGGTAAATTCCAGGAAAGATGGGCAGTTCCCCAATAGCAATTTTAGCGCAACTCGAGCTGGTGTTGAGGTCGAATCAGCACCCATTATTAGGTATTTCGACAAAAATTATGATGTCAGCCGAAAATGTTAGAAAACAACGTTGTAGCGGGCCAGGAATGTTGAGGTTGGCACACACCTAAAGGAGTAATGCACTTGTAAGGTTCTCCTGATGTAACACCGAACAGGATGGTCAATCACCTCAGACACTCATGGATAGGAATGAAGAAGAATATACGGTTGATGACACGAACTGTCTACTATTGTAAAACGAAGGGAAAGGTAATAAAGGGAAAAAGGTATAATGGTACAAATAAATGCCAGGGTTATATACAAACGATTCGTTTGGAGTGAGAGCTGGTCACGGAATAACAGAAAGACCCGGTGGGGAGTGCAGCGCTGTGGGTAACTGCGGGTGAGTGCCATGGAAGTGCTGACGGTGCGGGACATACGGTACTGTACGGTAACGATAGTGGGGGGAACGAAGTCAGCGACGGGAAAAGAAGGAGCACCGGTAATCTTCACCGACAAACGATCACACCATCCTCATCCGGAATCCGCGCTTAAGTAGCCTTGACACATTCAAAAATCCATGGTTCAGTCTGGTTTTTTACACGTCCAACCATATTGTAACCTCAGGCCGGAAATTATTAGGTTTCGAGATCGATCTTTTTCTGTT